CTCAAAATTACTTTACTATTGACAAACTATAAGTAATTTTGTTCGTTTTCAAATAAGACGATTGCATAGTAAATACAAAAAATGGAAATATTTCAAGATTTTCAGAAATGCTATCATACATCATACTATTTTCATATATATATATATATATAATAAAATGAATATATAGAGAGAGAAAGAGAGAAAAGGAAATAAAGGTTCAAATGAATTGCTTGCAGAGACACCGTTTAATACATTAGGATAACATAAATCGTTTGAATTGTTTAACTAACATCATATTCATTAATTATTTAAAATAAAAACATAAAAAGTAACTTATTGACGTCTACTATATTTTAAATTTCTTCCATACTAAAGGCGATATAATGTCACAACAGTTAATCTGAAATTGTTCGATTATGTATTTTATTTTACTGTTACAAAAGGCATTTACATAAAAATCCAAGAAAATTAGCCCAATAAATGCTTACAACGATCTAACAGTTTATGAAATATTCGACACATTTAAATTATAAGTTTTCAATTTTTAATAGAACTGAATTCACGTTGTTTTTAATAAATTCATCATAAGCAAGGCAATAAAGTCACTAACATGCAAGGGGCTACTAGGAGTGAAAGAGAATTAAATAAACTTTAGAAGGAACTGGAAACCCAATGCTAAACAGGAATCAAAGGATAAACCTATATTCCGATTCAAAAGACCGGAGAGGAGTGTGAACCGGACGATAAATGAAACTTTTTACTTCTATTGAGAAAAAAAATAGTAAATGTAATTTCAGAGCTTAGGCGTAGACGTTAGATGTATAAAGTTGTATTTATGTAACGTATTTAATATAAATAATAGATAATAAATATGATAACTGTTAAAGAATTCAATAGATTTATCGATTCTTGACGATCGGATTAGGATCTCGATAAAACTTCAAGTCGGAAAATAAATTCTTTGAAATTTAATTTTACATTTGCTCTATTTTTAATGCTGATTACTTTATTTACAAAGAAAACTGGTCATCTTGAATGAATGTGTTAGTCTCCAGTAATATACTCTGGTGATCATGTTTTGTAAGGCATAAATGATCCTTGCTTATATATATATATATATATATATATATATATATATATATATATATATATATGCATGAATACCGTAATCCTCTGTGCATAATACGCAGGTTTTATTTTCATTTAAATCGTGTCCAAAAGTCTACTGCGTCTTATACTTTAGTTTAAAGCTCAATCTTACTTTTCCGGGGCTCAAAACGGACAATATCGGGTTCCATTGGATTTATTTGTTTATGAGTGATAATATCTATCTAATGGCGTATTGCAGCCTACACAACGGGAGGCAGAATGAGAAAACCAGAGCTTGAAGACATTTTTAAATTGATCGTCGACGCCTGCGAAGCGATGAACGTCACTATCAGCTAAAATTAAAGTTAAGAAATATATACGTGAAACATTTCAGAATTTAACAAGAAATGCAGATATAGGCCGCAAACCAATGAGAAGCAGAGCACCCTTTTCAAACTGATCTATTGATGCCTATATAAACGGATGGAAAATTAAACAAAATCAGAGTCGATAAATTAATTTTCCTTTCTCTGATGTTGCTGTCATCCTAATATACTCTGAGACGCAATACGACATTTGCACGACTAGTTGGTAACCTTACACGACTAAACCGTCCTTACTACACTGAAAACAAACATACCTTCCTTCACCACGTGGTCAAACAGAGGCTACTACATTTAGATACATACATACGTATATATATATATATATATATATATATATATATATATATATATATATATATATGCTTCCTACCAGACTCTTTCTCTCTAATTCCCTTCCTTTTATGCGCCAGAACGTTTACATTTGAACTCTTGAAACTTCAACATTCACCTTATTCTTATGTATTATTATATTGCGGTATATAATTTATTTTGTATTTTTCAACACTTTGTGCATTTCCTTTAATCCTTACACGAGGTCACCCCAAACAATTATACCGATTCATGTAATAGACTGGATACTAGAAAATTAAAAATGAAAGTTTAGCATTCCTGCATTTTCATCATTTGTCTTGATGTAGAATTATAACTGTCGTTTTCTTGTGTTTTGTTTCCACCCTCTACATATATATATATATATATATATATATATATATATATATATATATATATATATATATATATATATGTATATATACATGTGTGTGTGTGTGTGTGTGTGTGTGTGTGTGTGTGTGTGTGTGTGTGTGTGTAAAAATATATAGAAAATAGGAAAGAACTCGAATCATATATTTAAATAAATAATTATATATATATATATGAGACCATCGATAAACACATTATTTAGTTTAAATACTTTTGAAAAGACGAAACGTATCACATAAGATTTTATACATTTTTGTCATTCAACTACTCACTATTAGCTTGATATATAATCTTTTATACATCATATTTTTCCACATCTGATCTTGCCCTACGTAATTTACGGTGTTCATAACACTTACCCCTAATCAGTAAAGCTTATTGACTATAAAGGCAGGAGATCCACTCTTATCCACGGATCTATTCAGAAAATTCTCGTGGGCCATTAGAATAGTTTAGATATAAGAGCAACCTTTCAACAAATTTTAAATATTACTAGAATTAATTAACTGCCAACCAACAGATTAGCAAATATAACAATTCCAGAAAAATATTCGTATTGGATGATGACATGGAGGAAAGCAGAATTTCTTAAATTTGTAGAATTACAACAAAACCCATTTTAATCTATAGGTAATAGAAATTCACGTCGCTGTTATATATTTTGAAATGGATGAGTCACTCTTTAAAATTCAAGAAAATGTATCCCTATTGTTGTATACTATACGTGTTGTTTTTATTTTATTTTATAACTTGAACAAATATATTTTTCCAATATTTACAGGACCAGATAATATCGTATTTTTCGTAATTAATTTTATATCTCTTATACAAATTGTTATTTGTTTTGTAGGAAAAAGCGCAGCTGATAATCACACACACATATATGTTTGTGTGAGTGAGTGTATCAGTGTGTGTGTGTCTATGTGTACGTGTTGAGTAGGAACCATTTTGTATTGCTCGTGCTGTGTCTGATAAAACTAATGCAGTATTCAAACTACGAAAATATTTTTTGTACTAAGAACATTGAAAATTTGTGTTTATCCTAATGTATATTTTTCCATATATTCGACAATATTCTCAAATTACATTTTTTTTCTTTCTCTCTTTCTCTTAATTTTATTATCAAAACGCAAATTCAGTAGCTTACCAAATTTCTAAATAGCAGAAAATAAACAAACAAATGTACACTTTGATTTTCTCGGCGACATAGCGCGTCTTAACAAATACATTTGGCTTAATAATAATCATTAAGTTATCAGCATGACATAATAAGTTAAACCATAATAAGTCAAACCGAAAACACCACATAGTACAGACTAATAATAAATTTGTAGGTCTAGATTCAGTGATAGAGGACTGATAGTAAAACCTCCATTCTCTAAAATATTTACCCAAAAATATGTTGTATAAAGAAGAGAAAAGCCAATAGTTCCTATCATTCGTCCGTGCATTGGATACTTCTGGCATAACAGGTCAGAGGCTCCTGCTGTAGTTCTCAAGATTCTTGATAAAATTTAAAGAAGGGTCTGTAATGTAATCTATCATGACCAAGTATCTAGACTTCAGTCAATGTTTCACCGATCTGACGTGACTTCACACTGTCTTTTCTGCAACTATTAACTGCTCTAATGAACCTTTTTCCCTGGTGCCTCGACTACATAAACTTAATCGTGTTACTAGATTGGCAACTAGGTCTCACTTGTTTTACTGTTGGACAAGATACAAAAGCCACGTCTATTCGATTTTAACAGTTCCTTTTCTCGCACTTCTCACGTGTGGAACTCCCTCTCGATTTTTTATTTTATTTTTTTTTGCTTCTCTGCCACCTACAAACTTCAAAAATTAAAATGCAACGTCAATCGCCATCTTCGGTGTTTCTGTAACCTGTTCCTTTATTGTTTTTTCACTAAAATCTTCTCATTCTATTTCATTCCATATCTTTGCGTCTTAGTAGCATTATTGCCTTACTTGGAGTGAAACGATTAAAAAAACCAAAAACAAAAAACCCCTCAAAAACCCCCTCTTTTTTGACGAAGTAAGGAAACAAAAGAAAAAGTAATTCTGATTTCTGACAAGTTTCGTGCAATTATAATCCGCAAATATCTGAAATAAAATTGATGTTTCAGTCCAATGATAACACGAGACTCAATCTCTCATATTTAACATTAGATTTTCTTTTCCTCTGGTAATATCCCAGTTACTAACAGCCAGTATACATGCATACGGGACGGAACACATCGTGCGAAACATGGACTTTACATTCTCATCTGTAATGTCTGAGAGGCTCTCCCCACTTGCAGTTGGAGTGAGTGTTTATATATCTGTCTCTACCATGCAGCTAGTTCCCACGCTTGCAACTCAAATACAGTTGGTCCGGTCATGTAATTCTGCACTCAGCGTCTGTAAGGATTCCTTAGGTCAACCCTGATAGATTTTGAGTGCAAAGTATATTCTGGCACGATCAGTGGCGAGACACATAATATATATCTATATATAAATATCTATTAAAAATAATTAAAATTTGCTTTTAGTATCAATTATATTTTTCTCTCATAAAATATTTTACAATCATTGACACTATGATTGATTAATTTTTTACGGTTTATCAACCTTTTGTAGGTTATTCAAACCCAGAAAATATTTTTGACTTGTATGAATCTTTGGAGGTAATAATGATTTACTGATACAAGTCCTACTAATTAACCCATAGGGAGGGAAGAAGAAGTGTATTCATACTTTTTCCAAGAATACTAGTGCATAAAGAGCCCGACTGGAAATGGAACTCGGCTCTCCGATTTCCATTCCTGAGCCGATATCCATTACACCACCAGCACATTTAAGCTTACAGCACCTGGTATCCCCAAGCGGTCGCCAATCTAGTTACTGACCAGGGTCGACGTTGCTTATCTTCGGTGATCGTACGAGAACCGATGTTTCAACGTTATAAGGCCGCAAGCCTTTATTGAAACATTTTCATTATGTACAAAATATTAATAATCTTTTCTTTTGTACTTATTGACGTTTCACACCAAGAATATTTGATGGTTCTTGTCTGAGATCAAGTGACAACAAGTTTATTCTGTACTCCAGCACCTTCCTCAGTATCATTGCTGGATTCATTAACACTGGCGTCTGATTAGTTTCAATTGTTCATCGGAGTTTCAATTCTTTAAAACAGATTCTGATTTTTGTAATTATCATTAGTTTGTCACTTCTTTTCCACTATTTTGTTTCGGTCTCTTATTCTCTGACTGACGTTTTCCTCTCTTTCTCCCTCTCTTTCTCTCTCTCTCTCTCTCTTTCTCTCTCTCTCTCTCACACACACACACACACACACACACTCTCCCACTCTCTCTCTCCCCTCTCTTTCTCTCTTCACTTTCTCTCCAAAAGAGTAGTTCACTAATCTGCTATGTGCTTCCTGTCCTGACCGGGAGCGGCTAGAGAATATCTTACCAAAAGACTCTTTCTTTTAGGCGATGATCCATAACAATTTATAAATAATGACGAAAGTAATGGTTCTCCTGGAGCAACTGGCAAAATATGGTTGCTGTTAAGATTCTTTTTTGTTTATTTAAGTTTCCTCTGCGCAACCATGTTTATTATTGTTTTTATATTATCAGTAAACTATTGAAAAGAAATGATTTGTTATCAATAAAATATTAAAAAGAAAAATGTGAACATGCAAACATAGGCAGAGTGTCATTTAAATTAAAACCAGTGATTCCTTTCTTCTATATAGAAGATAGAATAATTTATATAATCATTTAGCGCAATGAAATTTGACATAAAAACAAGATTATTCTATTACAGAGGTTGATGCGAATCTAAATTTAATCTAACTGGAATCGTTAACTTATTGAACACTTTTTAATTCAAACATTTCGATTTTCGAATCAAATAAGGGCGAAATATTTTTGATGGCCTAAAAGTAATCGAGAATTATAAGGATTTTTGTATCTAAATGTAATTCCAGAATTGAAATCAGTGTAAATTTTAAATTGTTGCAGCTCTAAGATGACAAATGACTCGAAATTGGATTAATTTGTTTGATGAAGATCTGTCGGAAAAACATTACTTTCTGTGATTGGTAAAACAGAAAAATGCGTTCATTGGTAGCCAGCCTATTGGGCCAGTTTATTACTAGGATTCTTGATCATTTATTACATTAAGTTTTGTAACTAAGTTACGCAATCTTTACGATAACTGAAAAATTCTAGCAAAGGTCTTACATTAGATTTTGGTTGAAGCTTAGCAAATCTGTTATAGAAACCCTTGAAATGCTTCGTTAGATTTTTCACAGACATTCTTAAAGTCGAAAACAAGTTTTTGAATGGCGTGCTCGTTTTAAAGCCGTCCGAATGCGAGTTCAAGATAATGAGCATGAAGCGCATCTAATAACAAAAAACGAAGCACATCTTCGACTTCCGTCAAATAAAATAAGATGGGAAACTTTCCAATTGCGGAAGTGGAATATGTGCTTCGTTAAGTGTATTTCGGAATAAAATATTTTAGTAGCACCTGATGAAACGTTAAAAAAATTTTAACGTTGAAACAAGATGTACAGTTTTTATAGTGGATATGTGCATTTTCTAACGTAATACTGCATAATAAATAAATATTTATTGCTATACTTTTGTATTGAGCCCTGTTTTAAATTAATGCTTTGAACGCTGAAATCTTTCTCTTCTCTTCGTTCTTTTACATTTGTGTATATATATTCATCGATATGAATCAGTAACTATACTATTGAATATATGAAGTCTAACAATTTAAAACCAGGAGTGACTGTAGCATGTCACTGGGGTAATTAGTCACATAAACATTTATACCTGAGAGCATTTGATCGTATTCCAATTTCCGCTTTCTTGCGAGGCAGACTAAATGAGTCATTCGTTGCTGAGCAGTAGAGGAAATTGTACCTGTTCATATAATACTGTTGGTAAGAAAGGAGTAAATGAAATCTGGATTATAATTAGTGTGAAGATTGGTAAAAGTGATCTATTAAAAATATCTTATGGTGAACATTGTATTGAAGAAATTGAATAATTTTTGAATGATATACATGGTCCAGGTAAAGGCGAGAATATGTGTACAGTGACGTAAGATGTAGAAAGCCCAAAAGAACAGATGATAACGTCGAGAAAGTTGATGCTCTCTTATCGAAGATTGTGCCAAAAAAATGAATATAAGTAGGAAAACAACGCGGCAACTTCTAAGAGAAGATTTGGGAATGAAAACCTAGAATCTTGACTGATGAGCAGAAACAAAGTCTTTTTCACACTTCATCTAATAGTTTGAGTAATGTTATATATATATATATATATATATATATATATATATATATATATATATATATATATATATATATATATATATATATATATATATATATATATATATCAAAGAGATATTTGGCAGGATCATTATCGGTGTTGAAAAAACTGTTTTTCAGTAAGTGGAAAACAAAAAAATATTCATTTCGGCTGGAATGGGCTCGCATGTCTCATTCACGGTTCAAGGCCATGTTTGCGTGTTTCTTTGATCATAAAGTGAAAGTTTTCTACAAAATCTTAGCACAACGTCAAACTGTCAGTCAGTATTCTTATTTGGAAATGTTGAAAAGGTTACGAGAATATGTTTGAAGTTAAAGACCAAAGCTCTAGACTGACAAATGGATTCTCCACCATGACAATATTCCTGGTACATTAGGATTACTCGAATCTTTTGTTAAGAAACCCATTACAAAAAATGCACCTGATTCCCTAAACTTAGCACTTTGTGATTTCGGACTATTTCCAAAGTTAATAAATGCCCTGAAGGGACAAAGATTTGTTAACATTTCTGATATCTAGCAACGTGTAACAACATTACCTTAAGGTATTCTGGAAAACGAGTTTCTAGTATTTTGCCAGCAATGACACAATTTTTTCATGGAGCACATAGCTTGACAGAGTGACAGCAGCTAATGACCAAGTAAGCAAACTTTGCTTTCACAGGACCATTTCTGGATTTAACGATATGATAAGCAGCCATTGATTTGCATACTAAAATATCACACCACCAAATACGATATTGGCAATATTTCTCATAAAATTGGATATTATAAACCGAAAATTCACAAAGCGTAATTATATAGATGAGTGCATCTCGACATCAATCACTTTCTCGCTAACATGACATGGCTGCCCCTGTCTTTTCTACTGATATTTTCACGGCAATGTTTTTGATAAGCATTCTTCTTTGCTTCCTCGACTGCATGAATTCAAGCGTACTACTAGATTGGCAACTAGGTCTCACCATTTTAATCTTGAACTAGCTAAATGCAAATGTCTGTTCTATTATAATAGTTTCTAATGTCGCCTGTGAAAATCCTTTCCGATTTCTTGCTTCCCTGTCACCTGACCCTGTTCCTTTAATGTCCTCTCTCCTCACTAATGTCCTCTTATTCTCTTTCACTTCCAGTAGTGCCTTGCGTCCTGGTGGCATTATCGACTTGCTTGAGATGAAATCATTAAAAAATACTGAAAATGTTACCAAAATAGATTGATTAATATCAAGTTTATTATGAAAACAACATCAATTACCCGATAATTCTCCGTTGCCATTTTGTATGTTGGATTTAAACTGCTGTAGATCAATATTAATACGAATACAGTGAAAAGATTGACAGTTTCCTCTACTTCTTTAAATATTATACAATGTAAATTCTTTGAACAGTAATGTCTAACTTTCCATCCATACAATACACATATGAACAAGCTCCGAGAATATCTCGGACAACACGCTTTCCAAAATGTCCAAACAGCAAAGTTTTACATGGAATCACTTTTGGGTTGGAAAAAAAAACTTTACAGCGCCCCCACGTATATGTTTTACACACTGCCAAAAAATTATTTCCATAAATATATAATTTTTACTGACTCAGCAGGAATACCATTGTGGAAGGTCATGTGGAAGAGACATTGGCGTCAAGTCTCCACAGTTGAACTTCTCAGATCGTACAAGAAAGTTAAATTAAACATGACAGTTGGTGATAAGGAATGTTATATAAGTGACTAAAGGGTTAAAGGTCGAAGCAGCTTAAGAAACCAACCGAGAGGGAAGTGTAGTGTACTTTTGACACGTGTTACTTTAACGCGGGTAAAATTTGTTGTGACCAAAGACTTCAAAAGACCAAGTCAGTGTTCGATTAAGTTCTGACCTTTAATACTTGATCATATCGTTATTTTCATTTGAAGAAATCCAGAATGTCCGTCCAAATAAAATGAAACCTTCAATATTTTTCTATATTTCGCATTTACTTAGACAGACAGATAAATAGTGAGGGAGAGAGAGAGAAACATTTAATCGCAAATAGTCTCAGAAAATGTCTCTAAAATAACTAAATTTTAAAGAAAAGAATTCCAAGGAAATATAATAAAACTTCAAATTTTTACTTAGAATTCTTTAATTAAAACAATTATCTAAAAATTGTTAATAAAATCAAAATATATAATATGCAGACGTCTTCATTGTTCAGCGTCATTTTTGTAAACGACGCCAGTGGTTATTAGCAAATATTCACACATGTAATATTCTTCAGTTAATCTTATAAATTCCAGAAAATTAACATTATATCCTGTATAAACCAAGTATCTCCTAAGTATTATATTAATAAGAGGTTTACTTTTTAAATTTGAAACTCTTGTGAAAAATTTCGTTCTCTAACAATCAACTCTGACTAAAATTACAAGCAGACATATTGATTTATTTAATATGATGTAATATAAATTTTGCAAAAATGAATAAATAAATAAGGAGGCAGTGAATTCAGTCCTCAGGCATTATGGAATGTCCCTTAATCGTAACAGACAGAATATATATGTATCTGAAGAATGACCTCCCCATAGAGAGAAAATTATTTACTTAGTCAAAATTTTGAATCGCAAACCAGTTGCATTTTTCTCTGCTTT